ATTGCATGTAATGTTCTAATTTTCTGAGATTGTGGATTTGGGGTTTTCATGAGCTGTAAGCCATAATCTTCACAATTGTGGCAAATCATGGGTGAACTATCTTGCTTTGCATGTAATGAGTCTTATCTCATATATTAGTTTCACCTTTTAAGTTGCATTGCTGAAATAAATGAACTTTTGCATGATATTCTAATTTTTTGAGTTTCACCTGTATATAGGACGACTTTGCTTGGGGAAAAAAAGCAACTTCAGGGAAAGATAAATACATATAAAATCATACATGGCATGGGAGAAGGAAAGGAAATTTTCCCCACAGTTTTCAAAACACCAGGATCAGGAATCAAACTAATGGAAAGGGATTTAGAGCAGACTAAAGAAACCATTGTTCCATACAAGGCATAATTAACTTGTAGAACTCATTGCCATGAGATATGGTGATTTTACTGGGGATGTGGTGACTCAGTGGCTAAGACGCTGAGCTTGTCAATCAGAAAGATTGACAATTCGGTGGTTCAAATCCCTAGTGCCGCGTAACAGAGTGAACTCCCATTACTTGTCCCAGCTTTTGCCAACCTAGCAGTTCGAAAGCATGTAAAAATGCAAGTAGAAAAATAGGGACCACCTTGGTGGGAAGGTAACAGCGTTCCATTCTCCTTTGGCATTTAGTCATGCTGGCCACATGACCATGCAGATGTCTTCAGACTAGCGCTGACTCTTTGGCTTTGAAACGGAGATGAGCACTGCCCCCTAGAGTCAGGAATGACTAGCACATATATGTGAGGGGAACCTTTACCTTTACTTGATGGTGATTTTCATCTTGAAGACTCCGTATTGCCTCCAAATCCCAGTAGTAGGAACAACTGTGAGAAAAGAGTATGTCTATACTGCACTTCCTGCTTGCAAGCATCCTAGAAGGATGAGAAGGAACTCAAGGGTTATTCACAAGTGCTGTGATTAATGATCATAATTTTATCCCCAATACATAACCTTTATCACTTGATTTAAAATTCAGTTTCAGTGAAGTTAGAGACAAATAATGCCTGGTGTTTGTTGTACCAACATTTTTCTCTTTTTCTCCTGTCTCTTGCCAGGATGAAGGATGGCTGATGGGTGTGAAAGAAACTGATTGGCTTCAGAACAAAGCATTTGACCAATGCCGGGGAGTTTTCCCAGAGAATTTCACTGAACGGGTGCAGTGAGGTCTTGCAGCTCTTTAGATAGCTTCTCTTCAACAAGAAAGCAAGAGGTCTCTTCTTCTCCCCCTCCTCCTGAGGAAGGTCTAAAAAAAATTGAAAGAATTTTTTTTTTTAAAAAAAAGCAGCTTAAAGGTTGGATTCCTCACAGAAAACAATGTTTTTAGAAGTCCGCTGAATCAAAGTATTATCAAAGATAGAGATAATAAAGGAAGACAGGTTGGGAAAAAATCCTTTCTCTGTTTGAGTTAAATAAGGTCAATCCAGAAGGTTGTCATTGAGTGGTTGGAGCAATGTTGTGTGAAATAGGATGTGCTCAGCATCGTAAGCTGTGAATACTAGCAGTCCTGTTCTCCTGAAACTACACAATAAAGTTTTATCTTGTGGGAAGGCACAGTCAACCTGTTTTGTGGCTGAACTTGTTTCTGTGGCAAAGTATACTATCACGCTACCCCGGCTTCGATGCCTGTCCTGTGTTTTGTGTGTGTGTGCGTCTGTGTGTGTTTGTGTTCTCCTTTTAAAAAAAAAATCTAACCAAAATCCATACATTTAAAATACTTGTCAGTGCTTATTAGAAAGAAAATAAGCCTGGTTCTGGAAAGATATATTTTAAGAATGACCTGTGTATTTTTGTTCTATAGGAAACATTCATATGGGGGAAAAGTATAAATATAGCGTCTTTACTACTATTGTTTTCATAATATTGTACTGAAATGGGGGGTTGTTGCTGGCTGCAAATTCTGTGCTCTCTGATAGGAAGAGGTGATGAAGAAGAAGAGAGATGCATATAATTACACCAATATCCTGGCATTGTGTTAGAGGTCAGGTAAATGAGATGACAGAGTGACTGCTTCATTTATATAACTTCTAGCTGTGTTTGCATTGCTCTGCATCCAGAACAATTATTCCCTGTGTCTTTGCTCTTAAGATGTATTTATCTTGTATTTAAAAACTGTAGTGGGTGAAATTCTAGGACAAGATTGTTAAATACAAGGCACAAGGCCTAGATCTGGCCCATGATGTGGTTAGCTCTGGCCCACGGAGTCGCCCTGGAAACAGCAAAGGCCCAGCCCATGGTGCCTTGGCCCAGCCCAGGCCAGTCAGGCATTGATCTACAACTTGGTGATGGCCATCCAGGCTGGAATGTGGTCAGCCTTAGATCTGCAGACTGCCCTGGAGCCAGCGAGGGGCTGCTCCCACTCCATAGGTGCATGCCAGTGAGCATGTGAGGCCTGATGTCCCTGGTGACTGTCTTGTTCTGCAGCCTGACTGCATTCTGAGTGCTTACTTTTCACCCTGGCTGCCTTCTGTACTCATGCAAGGGGTGAGGCCAAGCGGCAGGGGCAACTCTGCAGATCTAACCCTGACTGCATTTCAGCCCACCAAGTTGTAAATCAGTGCCACACCTGCCACCAGCGCCTCCATGGCCTGCTTGCCAGCCCAGCCTCACAGCACATGAGCGCTTCCCTTTTACCAGGACCACCCATGTGTGGGAAAGCCATGGCCACCAGCAGCAAGGCCCCCAGCAGAGCTGCCAATCTCTCCATCTCCCTTTGTCCCTTTCTGAGTGTGGAGGAAGGAAGGAGATGGGAATGAAAAGGAGGGAATGAGAAGGAGGGAGGCGGGGAAGGAAAAAGGGAGGGAGGGAAGAAGAAGGAAGGACGGAATATGGGAATGATGAGGAAGGCAGGGAAGGAAGGAAGTTGGGAATGAGAAGGAGGGAGGCGGGGAAGGAAAAAGGGAGGGAGGGAAGAAGAAGGAAGGACGGAATATGGGAATGATGAGGAAGGCAGGGAAGGAAGGAAGTTGGGAATGAGAAGGAGGAAGAGAGGGAAGGAAGGAGGGAGGAATGAAGGAAGGAAGGAGATGGGAATGAGAAGGAGGGAAGGAAGGGAAGAAGGGAAAAGAGGAAGAAAGGAAGGAGATTATGAGAGGGAGAGAGGGTCTCAGGGAAGTCCTGCCTTAGCCCTTGGCCATTACAAGCTCTGCTGCCCTTTCACCATCCCCTTGCTTTTTCCTCTCCTGGTGGTATCCTATCCTATCATTGAGAATGCTTTGGTTACAAAGTGGGTCTTCTCGCAAGGAGAGGGAGTGGTCCTCCCTCTGACAATACTATTTGCCTTACCACATCCACCATGAACAACCTGGCCAAGGAGAGTGAGCACAGCAGAGCAGCCTTGAGGAGGAGGTAAGTGCATCTGGGCACCACCTCTGGGCTGTGGGATCCTGGTGCCCTGGGAGTGCAAGGGTCAGGCTCGGTGCTTGCTCTGCTGCCCAGGGTTCTGGGAACCCGTGCTGTCATATGTGAGTCTTCTCTGATGAACATGGGTTTGGCGCTCGCTCTAGTTTTGTCTTCCTTTGCTGGAGACAATGCATCCCCCCAGCCCTGCCCACACCACCACAGTGGTGGCGACGTTGAACTGGCCACACCCATCCAGTCCACCATGGCCACCAAGTTGGCCACGGCCACCCAGCCTTCTGAGATCAACCACAGCCCTGATGTGGCCCTCAATGAAATTGAGTTTGACACCCCTGTTCTAGGGCAACTATCACTCAGCTGTAAAAACCTAGACAATCACTAAATGGTTTCAAAGAATTAGAGGGTTTTTTAAAATGTTGTAGCTACCATATAGTAATTTCTAGAGTTTATCTAGCCCAGATATCATAGCCTTACTCTTAAACCACTGCATTATAAAATGCCAGTTTGGAAATAATACTCCTTTCTGCATTTCAAATTGTCTTTAAAAAATATCAGAAGCAAACAAGTGAGAAAAATCAATGAGGCTTCTTGCTTCGCTTCCCATTATTAATTTTTCCTTTGTAATATTGATTTGCAGAGAAGAGCTGGATCTATTCTAGGGTGCATTATGAATTTATGAAGAACAGGGAAGGAAACTCTTCTATTCAAGCTTCTTTTTTGTAGTTTCTGGGACCCTCAAGATTGAACTGCAAATTCCCTGGGATTTTCCCAACCATAACAGATCTTTTTTGCTGAAAAGCCAAACATTAATGCACCTATAAATTACTTGAATGACAGTTGCAGCAATGGTCAATGACTGTAAGAACAAATACTCATTCTATGCTGTCTACAGCTGCTGAGCTCTTCAGATTTTTTGGGGGGAGGGCTATGTTCATTTATTTGTTTTTCCTTTTTAAATTAATTTATTTTTTTTTGCTCTGGTTTTGAAGTTTTATTTTCTACCACTGTCTCTCGCATCAGAATGCATAGAAAATTCTTAACATTTGACAATCTCATAAAATGTAAGGTAGCTTTAGAAAAGCAGGATAAGCCAATGTTCACTATTGGGAAAAAGCAGCCTAGGTTTCTAATGATCTGTAGTATCACGTTTTGTATGTGAGTGTAAGAAAATGCGGCATCTCTTGATGGTAGATTCACAGATGATTTTTCTTCTTATACTCAGTAAGACAGACCCTGGTTCAAATAATGCACCACAGATGTAAAGCCATTGCACAATCAAGAGTATGTGCATACAACGAGGAGACGTGAGTGCCATTGTATTGTTGCGCACACACAATTAAAGCCATTTCATCTGCCTCTGCAGAATAACTTTCATAAAAAGGTTTTCAACACTCCTTATGTGACTCAGTGGAATTTCTAATTTATTTTTGTTTTAGGTTAGCCTTAATACATTCTAGGAATTGGAGTTCCATTATTTATATTTATGTTCCACTGCTGTTTCATAGAACTATCCCTCTACAAAATTACTATTTACTCCATACCAGTGGGTACTGCATGAATTTTTGCATCTTTCATAACTTGCCATTAAAGTTATTTTATGCATTTATAGACAAATTTGTATTCCTAAATAAAAGATATGGTGTGGTTTTAAAGGAATATGAACTAGAGATATGTTTATGCAATAAAGAAGGTATCTGTGGAATATATATATTTTATATAAAAAACAATAAGTCCTTGAAATTTGAGGGGGGAAATTATCAGAAACTATTTAGCTTCTAGTACATAGAACTTTTAGCTGAAGTCATTTTCTCTGTTCTTGATATTTATTTTGCAAACAAATGCTAGGAAGAAATGTGGCAACCTTTCTTTCTTTTAAGGAAAAATAACTATCCAGTACTGTATTATGTTCTTATTGATTCTGTATCTGTTGTTGTGCCTTTAAAATAATGGTTGATAAGCTTGTAGTTCTGAGGTCTCATTCATTTTTTCCCAGTTGCTGTGGATTTATTTCAATTTGCTTCTGAAGAAATCTGTTCAATGAAAAGGAAATAATTCAATGGAAATTAAAAAAAACCCCAACAATAATCCAACATAGCCTGCATCTTCTACAAGGGTGTTAAAGAATACTTGGCAATGCAAATCCCATTTTCTAAAGGAATGTGCTTAATATCACAGTCTTGGCAATTAACTGGCTATATCTGTTGATTAAAATCTTTAATTTACCAGAAAAATAGATTGGTCAGCAATTATCTTTTAATATGAGTGCTTATTAAACTGAATGACAAGACTTGTCTTGTATTCTCTGAATGAAAGCTATGTTAAGATGATGTATACCATAGCTCATATGTAGTTTAAAAACAAAGTGTACTTCTTGCTATAGAAATATTGGATTGAATTCGGTAGAAATCTTCTCTGGATGTTCTGCTCCGGGCAATGAGGTTCTGCTCGGGCAGCCAGTTAACTCCACGCTTGGGAATA